TAAACTAATTTCAATGGTACAGTATATTTTTCAAGTAGTGGTACCCCAAACTTTCGCAGCTCTTATAAATTCCCTTTTCACACCATCAATAGGTAAACTCCCCCGCCTCCCCCCCCCCCCCCCGCGCCAAACGGCACGTACACCACCTCTTTCCTAAAATCCGCCAATCAAATGCTAATTTTTATGCTAATTTCTTTGTCATAATACCTTGTTTGCTCGCACACAGTTTAAAGGTCCGCTGTCTGAGCGTGGTTGTGTTTCGCTAAATTCTCCTGTTTGATGAGTACTAGGTACCTCGGTGAATGTATATGCTCTGACTTTAACATAGCTATTTCTGTGACCAGTTACAAGCTAAATACTCAGCTATTTCAATGCTAAATTCTATGCTAATTCCTTTGTCAAGGGGTACCTCTGCGGAGGTGTATACTTTAACTTAGCTATTTCAATGAGCCATTTCAATGCAAAATTTTATGCTAATTCCTTTGTCAAGGCGCTTGGTGTTTTTCTTCTCACACAGCTTAAAGGTCGTGATCTAAGCGTGGCTTCTCCCACTCCAGCGCTGTCCTCCAGACAGTCTCGTCCCTTCACCTGATGAAGGCCGCTTGTGTTGTGGCCGAAACGTCGTGATTTTTTGTTGTTTTATTTTCACCTACGTTACTTTACTCAATAGAACCAAAAATAAATTGAACAACAGCTGAAGCATGGAGTGGCTTGAATAATTACACGGACAGAATGAGGAGCACGTGAATCAGAACGTATGCAAAGTTGTCAGCTCCCAGGACCGATTCAGAAGTCACTTGCCGCTGATGTTGGCTGGGCCCAGGAATCGAACCTACGTCGCCGGGTTCATGGCGTGATTGCGCTAACCACTGACGCCCCTCTGAACCAGTGTTGGTGAGCATCTATAAAGGGTGCGCGTGAGTGGGTGGCGTGGCAGGCACCGCTCACATTCGGTCGCTTCGTCTCCCCAGCGCTGAGAAGACCTCGCGGAAGCACAGACCAGGTTCAGATAGCAATCGCCACCTGTGTTGTGCATCGTGGCAGATTCGTAATGAATACACGGGGCATTCGCATGCATGTACACACACACACGTGCAAATATATACAGACACCGGCGTAATCACACGCACAGAAATAAAGATGCTTCGTATAGCGTTAGCAGATTTTCAGGGTAAGTGCTGTTCGTGAGCACCTATGAAGGTCGACATGACACACAAAGGGCTGGGTTGCCAGCACCACGCCCGGCCGCCTTTGTCTTCCTAGTTGCGATGTTTACACACCGCACCATGAACTAATTTGAGGCTGAGTTGACCTCGCGGAGGTCCAGAACAGGTCCAGAAAATCGTCACTGTCGGATTCGTAGCGCAGTGAGCTAACCGCGGCGCCACCGTTCCCCCTTTAACGTGCGCACGCACGCACGCACGCATACACACGTGCACTTATAACGCACACACACACAAAGCACGTTCTATATATATACTCGTGACCCCACACAATTGCACACGTGCGCGGCGTTACGTGAAAGGACGCGGACATCACTCATCAGCGCGGGTCTGTGGAGCCCTGACCCCTTCATTAGCGCATCTCCAGCCAGAATATCAATACAATGCATCCCACTCGATGTGCACTGAGCCGCCCAGCTCGCTTATTACAGGTCTGATACCCCTGTTCGGACGACCTTTTGTATTCAGTTCACGCGGTGGAAATTCACGTTGCAGTCAAACCCCGGGGCTGCATCGAGACAGCTGTGTCCCCGGGGCATCAGATAACACCGCGCCAGGGATTCTCATTTAAGGCTGAGTCGACCTAAGAGAGGCCCATGCCAGCGGCTCGTCGATCACTCACCACCGACATCAGCCGTTTCACCACAGCAGCAGGACAACTGCCGTGTACGGACAGGGTCTCCCGTGCAATACATGTTCATCTTGAGCTTAACGAGCAACGTGAAAGTCCTTTGCACGTGACCCTCCCTCCAGCCGGTCAGCCAGCAAAACTTGTTTTAAATAATAGAGCATGAAAGGCTGTAGGATGACCACACATGTTGCATTACAACAGTAGTGTCATCTTTTTTTCTCACACACAAAACCCCTTGTTGCTTTGGAGGTCGGCTGCTCATATTTGATCTCCCTGCCAATCCTTCCGAAGTCACACGCAATTGCCTCCCATTGTTTCTTTCCCCAAGCCTCTTATTGCTCGATTACAACGTTGACAGTTGCTGTTTGTTGCTGGCCGCTTGATGTGTTGGGCTTTTGAGACTGTGCTAAGCGCCTGTGTGAAAGAAACAAAAAAACAATCCACTGTCCTTATAACTTGGTCCAACGCTTTTTTTCCGTTGCACTTTCGGTCGCTCACTCGTTAATTCAATTGAAACCCATTTCTTCAGAACTCCTGTTTGTGTTTAGTTCGTTGTCCTTCCTCCGCACTTACGATTAGCACGGTTGGCTACATACACACGTACTCACTATACGGTACATTTGTCCGTAACGTAACGACAACTATTGTGGTTCAGGGATCACAACCAGCCAGTGCTGCACTTTCCAGGTCAGCTCACGCCTCTCAAAAATAAAGCTGGCATTTTGGAAAGGAGCAATTTATATCGCAGGTCATTGGTGCGTTGCTCATCCTGGTTCCCGAGTTGTAAGCGCATTGACAAACATCTCAAAAGACATCAAAAGTAGCGCGGTATGGCACGAGAAATTCAGGATATTCCTGTTAGGCAGCCCGTCTCAACTTACCAACAGTCGGGGGGTTTAATTGACACCGTGATTCTATTAGATATAATCGATTCTTTCTTGGACATTGCGACGAATGTACCGGCCTCTAGTGGCTGGTTGGGTCACGTGAAACCATTATACAAGATACGAATCGACAGGCGTTGATTTTTGCGCACGTGATTGTATGCGTGAATTGTGAGCTCGAGGAATCAATAACGATCAATAGTAATAAATTATAATAAATCAACGCACCCTTCGTCCCTATTCACAATCACGTTGCATATCTGCATACATGCAGGGTGGCCCAAAAGTCAGGACACATATGGTTATATTTATATTAACAAATGACAAAGGTTATTTCATGTATTTGAACGAAATTTCAAACTGACTCCCATTAACATCTGACAAGAAAGAATAAGCATATATATTTAATAATATTAACTTAAAGCATAAATAATTGAAATGTTTTAAACCCAGCGTTAAAATGAATCAAGTGCCCAGACTTTGGGCCACCCTATTTATTGGACACACGCACAATATGCATAGTCATACACCGTTGAATGCTGGCTCATATAGCCACATATATGCATGCACTCTATTTTTTGCATACATACATATGGATGCACACGTGCGTACCTCTGCATATATATATGCATATGCATGCATATGCATATATATATACATGCAAATGCATCCGTGTATAATGCGTGGCGGGTCATAACCGTGATCCAACACTTTAGAACTTTAGAAGCAGGGGGTAGTTGCTGGATCGTATAGACTTGTGAAGGGGCGAAATAGATGGAGGTACAGCAAGTGGGTTCATAAAATCATCTGGGCAGCTGCGCTGAAACATCCCAATGTAGAATATGACCTTTCTGGAATAAAACATAATAATCTAGAGATGTAATAAGGCTTTCCCAGATTAATAAATTACATTGACTTCATGATATTCGTATACGTAAATATGATCGTGACTGTCTATTCAGACTGTATTTTTTTAATATATAAGTTGTATATACTGTGGACAACTTACATTCGCACACACACAGACGCGTCTATGCGTATAATAACACATAAGCATGATAAACTATAAACATCATAAAACAACATTTCTCATTTGTACCCCAAACAAACACAAACCACGACCAGTGGGTTGTGTTGGTTGGTTACTTCTGCCGCCACTGATGGGGCAGGTTCAGCTTTCAGTCTCACTCTCCTCAAAGTAGCGCAGTAAACACTTAACGCACGTACAATCCCCACCCAACAGTACACCGAGTAAATCGCCTCCCAGTGGAGTGTGATGTTGAATCCAACAGAAAGCGGGCACTATACAAAAAGAATGCGCCAATGCATGGTAGGTCCTCGTTTAACGCGTGTTCGCACAACGCGTTTTTCGCTTGACGCGACACTTTTCAGGAACGCATCTTCCGCGTTAAACGCGGCCTTACAATACTCTGGTTCTAAGGGCAGCGCGCTAACCACTACACGACCGCTTCCCGATACATATTACAATGAAAAAGTTCCCCCGTAAAAGCCTTAACAGACTTTTGGGGAAAGTAATGTTAGCGAGAACCTAATAATGCCAGGACGGCAAACGAGGAGGCGGATGGCCAGCACCACGACGCTCCGCCTTTGGCTCCCCCAGCGGCGATAGTTTACAGATCGCACCAGGTACTGATTTGAGGCTGAGTCGACCTAGGGGAGGCCCAGGAGCGGTTCAGATATTCGTCGCTGGTGTGGGCGGCGAGCGGGAATCGAACCCGGGATCGCTGCGCGCTAACCACTACACTTCTGCTCCCCACATTCAATACATATTAACGCACGTGCGCACGCGCATGGACGCACAGATACACGCGCGCATGCATATGTGCATTTCAATGGGACAGGTGCACGGGAAGGGTAGAATGAGGTAACCAGGTGACCCAGATGCGGCTTTCATTGCCTCTATTAGGCGTGATTTAGTGTCGCGGGGTCGTGCATGAACAACGCCGCCCTCGGGCTCCTCTCGCTGAACCGGGCACTGAGCCCCCACTGACATCTTTCATCGTGTCCACTAGTGGCAGCTGCTCGTCTGTCTGTGCGCGTGTGTGTGTGTGTGTGATCCGAATGTGTGTGTGTGTGTCTATGCACGTGTGTGTGTGTGCCTTCATAGGTGCTCGCGAACAGCACTTGCCCCAACGATCTCTTAAAGGTTATACGGGGGGGGGGGGGGGGTGATCTTTGTCTTTGTGTGTGAAGAGAGAAAGCTGAGCTACCCTAGCTCAGGGTTGTGCGGGGGGAGTGGCTTTGGGTGCAAGGGGAGAGAGAGGGAGGAAGCGTTTGGCGGAGCGTTATAAAAGGCACAGGACACAAGACATCGGGGCACACACATCCTCTCTGGACTGAGAGCTGCACCTGCCTGCTGCCATCGCGTGCTCTGAGGTGTGAACGCTTTGGTCCCAAGGTAAATGAGGAAGACGTTGACGACCGACAAGACACGAGGCGAGGACTGTGTGTGTGTGTGAATTAGGGGGAGCGGTGGCGTAGTGGTTAGCGCGTTGCGCTGACGAACCCCGCTCACGGCCAACACCAGTGAAGGTTATTTGAACCGCTCCCTCGCTCGACTCAGCGTTAAACGAGGAGCTGGTCCTATGTGTAAACATCGCCAGTGAGACAAAGGCGGTCGGGAGTGGTGCTGACCACCCACCCCCTCCTGTGCCGGCCTGCAGAGGTGTTCGCTAACAGCACTTTGCCCCCAAAAGTCCCTTAAGGCCATACGGGGGATCTTTGTCTTTGTGTGGGAGATAAACTGTGTGGGGGTATACATTGTGTGTGTGTACGTGTGTGTCGGAGAGAGTGGGGAGCGATAGTGTAGCTGTTAGCGCGCTGCGCTATGAACCCGGCGACCCGGGTTCGATTCCCGCTCAACGGCCAACACCAGTGACGATTATCTGAACCGGTCCCGGGCCTCTCCTAGGTCGACTCAGCCTCAAATGAGTACCTGGTGCGGTGTGTAAACATTGTCACTAGGGAGACAAAGGCGGTCGGGCGTGGTGCTGGCCACCCACCCCCTCGTGTACCGTTCCGGCCTTCATAGGTGCTCGCTAACAGCACTTGCCTCTACAGTCTGTTAAGGCTATATGGGGGATCTTTATCTTTGTTGTCGGAGAGAGTGGTCGTGTCGCGCTATGAACCCGGCGAACCGAGTTCGAGTCCCGCTCACGGCCAACACCAGTGACGATTGTTTGAACCCATCATTGGCCTCCCCTAGGTCGACTCAGCCTCAATTTAGTACCTGGTGCGGTGTGTAAACATTGCCACTAGGAAGACAAAGGCGGTCGGGCGTGGTGTTGGCCACCCACCGCCCCGTGCCCCGTGCACCGTGCCGGCCTTCATAGGTGCTCGCTAACAGCACTTGCTTGCCCCAACAGTCTATTAAGGCTACACTGTGCATTTTTGTCTTTGTAAGAGAGAGTGAATGTAACGGTGCGAGTTGTGATTGTGTGTGTGAATCACAGTTGTGCTAGGGGTACATGTTGTGCTTGTGACATGCGCGATGCGAGTTTGAGCTGTCCTCCGTGCGCGGTTTTAGCCGCGAAAAGCATTCGTGTGTTTAAATTGCGCATTCGTGCGATTTGAATTGCGAGTGCGAATTGTTCTTGTGCGAGTTTTTTTTTGTTCAGTCAATGCATGCACGTGTGTTGCGCGTCAGTCCCGTTTGTGCACGCGCTGTGTTTCAAATGAATGTGTTCATATGGCACGTTTGTTTTGCACGAATACGTCATAGACCGTGAGCATTAGATATGCTATTAGCATGATTTTGCATTTCTTAAATTGATATTTACATTACCATATACACGTGTGTGTGTGTGCAATCATCTGTTTGCACGCGTGTGTATTTGCACGCGTGTTTGCACTTTTTGTCTGTTTCTGCGTGAATTGCTTGCGTATTTGAATAGCGTATGCGCTCGACTTGTTACCGTATCGTTTGTACATCGAGGAGGAGCGGTGACGCTGTGGTTAGCGCACTGAACCGCGAACCAGGCCACTTAAGTTCGATTCTCAGTCGGCCTTGCACATCTCTTCCACCCCACGCTCCTCTGGCCATAGTGAAGTACATTGAGTCTTCATACAATCCTTTCATTCGGTAGGGATGTAAATAATTAGTCTAGGATTATATATCAATTGCGGGTGTGTGTTTGAACTCTCTGTGTTTGCACATCAGTGTATATCGGTATCACAATATGTATTCATACTGGAGGAATCCGATGAGCAATAAAGCTCTTTTTAATAGATGTCCAGTAAGGGCAGGTCAGAACGTTACAACAACAAACAATACAATATGTGTGCAAAGTAGAGGAAAGGTACACAAATCAGTAAAAAAAATGATACAAATAAAACTGAATAATTTTCTTGTTTTATCTTACAAGGTAAAGCCCACTGAGCTATTTAGCTTATTTTTATATTGCAGTATGTACGCGTTAATTATTTTGCGCGCGTGTATGCGTACGCGTGCAATGGTGTCTGTCTTAGTTGTTGTTACAACACGTGTTCATCCCGAAAAGCATCACGTTGAGTCTCAAGACTCCTTTTTTCAGGAGGGTCCTGGCCAAAGTTTCCACAGTAGGGGGAGGGGCGATGCTGCTGCTGCTGCTGACTGCCGCTGTGTGTCATCCCAATTGTGTGATTTGCAGTCATGGGATGTTTGGCCAACCCCGGTGATATCGATTTATTTTTTTACAATTGTGTGTTATAATTGTGTGTGTGTGCGGTGTTTGCAGGTGTGAATAGCGCACGCGTGTGTGTGTGTTTGTGCGTGTCCGCGTGCACGTGCGTTTGTGCGTATGAACAAGTCTGCGCGCAGTGAATTGTGTGTGTGCATACACATTTACAGTGCGCGTGTGTTTGCCTTTGTGCAATCTTTATTGCGAGTGCTGCCTCTAACCAAACACCAGGGTTCGATTCCAGGTCATATGGAAATCGCCAGTGGCGATAGGTGCATCAAACCTGGCTTGGGCGTGCGCTGGGTAAACTCAGCCTTAAATTAATACCAGTTGCGTTGGTGTGGTCAACATCAGCGCTGGTAAGACAAAGGAGACCGGGAGTGATTGTTCTGGCCACTGCACATATCTCGTATGTACTGTGATGATCCTAATAGGTGCTCGCAAACAGCCTGGCACGTGATGAGATGTGTGTGTTGTTTTTGGAGATCGATGGTGCAGTGGTTAGCGCACTGCGCTACGAACTCAGCGACCCGAGCTCCTGCCCGTGTGCCGTGCCGACCTCAATAGGTGCTCGCCAACAGCACTTGCCCTTTTACGAAAGGCTATTCGGGTGATCTTCGTCTGTGTTATTCTGGGGAGAGGTAACACAGTGGCTCGCGCGCGCAATGCATTACGAACCCGGCCACCTGAGTTCGATTCCCGTGCACTGGCAAGCATTCGTGGCGAGTGATATCTGACTGTGTCCTGGGTGTCAACCTTGGTCGACTGAACCTTAAATGTGTACCTGGTGCGGTGTATTAAACATCAGCACTGGGCGGACAGAGGCGACTGGGCGTAGCGCTGGCCACCCACCACCACCCTCTTTGTGCGCCGTACCGGCCTAAATAGGTGCTCGTTAAGAGCACTTGCCCCTACAGTTGTGACCCCACTCGAGTCGATGACGTCGCGTCAACCTGCAGGGCGCATAATGGGAGCATTACCCAAAACGAGCCTCTTCTCATCGCAAACGTGCTCAGCAACGTTGAACCTGTTAAGCACTTCAGTGGGTGACCACCAAGGCTTGCCACGTGTTGTTGACCACGGGACGGTGAAGTATGGCCAGGAGACGGTAGTGCTAAGTGCCCCTCCCTACCTCCTCACGCCGTATGCATGATAGGTTTTCTGCGCATACTCTGATTTCGCTCCACGTGAATCCAAATGCTCGTTAATGGCATTGGCCAAACATCCCAACACAGGGCATTCCTTGAAAAAGAGTCTGGAGACTCAACCAGGTGTTCATGGGTAAATAAAGGGAATAATAATGATTTAGAATAATGCCTTCGCAGAACTGTCTTTCAAAAGAAAATACATTCATTTTATTTGTCTGTGTGTCAGTCCTTGTATGTACGTGTGTCCAGCAAAAATATATGTCTGTGTGGCAGTCCTTGTATGTACGTGTGTCCAGCAAAAATATATGTCTGTGTGTCAGTCCTTGTATGTACGTGGGTCCAGCAAAAATATATGTCTGTGTGTCAGTCCTTGTATGTATGTATGTGTGTCCAGACAGGAGACTGAATCCTTACCCTCGGGGTTCCTCTATAAACAGCAAAAAGCCATTGCGGGTGCCCATGGGGAATTTTCGAAAACACTCACTGCGGAGGAGAGGCTGCCACTCCTCTGTCGGGAGCTGGACCAGTACCTCCTGCATCTCTGCGGTATTCAGGAGGTCCAGTGGACTGGCTCTGGCTCCTAGCACAATGAGGGGTGGACAGTCATCTACTCGGGGCAGGAGATTGACAATCAACAGGGAGTGGCTCTTCTTCTGGACACAATTTTGAAGGGGGTGTAGGGAGGGTGGCAGTGAGGTGTGGGGAGCTGTAGGCCCCAGGCTTCTGTGGGCTCGTCTTCCCATCAACCAGAGTTGAGGAGTGGTGGTCGTGGTTATTTATGCCCCCACTGAAGATTAACATCAGTGGAGGGATGCAGGCAAGGCCAATGAGTCAGATGCCTTCTATAACCTCCTGTCACAGGTGCTAACTAAAGTGGCCCCTCAGGATAGAGTCATCCTGTTGGGTGACTTTAATGCCCGAATGGGTCATGATGCTGGCACCTGGTCTGGAGTGATTGGAAGGCATGGGCCAGATCAGCTCAATTACAATGGTCGGAGGCTGCTAGACTTATGTGCAGCCCATGGGCTTGTAATTACCAACACGCTGTCTGTCATCGGCACATCCACACAATATTATGGATGCACGCTGGGTCCAAGCAAGAACATCTGCTGGATGATATAGTGATAGAACCGTAGATGCGGGCCCATGTCCTTGACAACAGGACATACCGTGGAGCTGATCTGTCCACTGACCATTGGCTTATCATGTGTAAGATGTGCCTGCCATTCTTCCACTCCGGTGGTGGGTCTACATCCAGGACCCCATTGAAACCAAAAGTGGCCTGATCTCAGCGAGCGGATGAAAGCTGCAAGCAATAATTTCATCATCGCTTGCAGCTGCGGTTGGCATTGTCCCCCACTTCTGATGCTGAGGGTAAATGGGCAAAGTTTAGGACTGTGGCTCATGCAGCTGCAATGGCTGCTTTGGGTGCATGGTCCAAACATCCCCAGAGACCCTGGCTGACAAAACAGGTGTTCCGGCTGGCTTAGAAAAAGTGGCAGGCCTACTATCACTGTCTACAGCATCCCATGTCAAAGAATGAGGAGGCTTACCGCAGCCTTCACTCGGAGGTTCGGAGAGCCGTGCAGCACTGCAAGGATGGTGATTCGATCTCTGACCCTCAGGAACAGGTTTGCAGATTTCCTGAGCATTTCTGTGGTCTTGAATTAGAGGAAATCTCTTAGCCTAGAAAACATAATTGGGCACAGTGGGGGTGACCCTGCTGAGGCTGCTGTGCCTCAAATATTGGAAGTAGTCACCCCTTGTGAGTGGCTGGCTGAAGTGTCATCTGTTTGAGGAAGTACAAAAGGAAATCCAGAGTCTGAGACCAGGAAAAGCACTGGGCAAAGATGATCCTCCAAGCAAAATGCTGAGGGAGGGTGGTGTTTGTGCGCAGACTGCCCAATATGACATCATAATAACAGTCTGGACAACTAGACGGGTTCTGCAGGATTTGAAGGATGCCCTGGTGGTCACCCTCTTTAATAAGGGGGATCGCACAGACTTTAACAACTACAGGGGCATATCCCTGCTCAGTGTGCCGGGAAAGGTCCTAGCATGGATTATTCAACATCACCATGCCAGGCACGCTGTGGAGAGGCTTGCGGAGCCCCAATGTGGTTTTAGCAAAAGGTGGTCCTGCACAGATACCATATTTTCTGTCCGTCTGCTACAGCAGAGGTGTAGGGAATTCCAACAAGACCTATATCTCTGCTTTATTGACCTTGTCAAGGCCTATGATACCATCAGTAGGCCTGGGCTTTGGGTTGTCCTTCGTGCTCAGACTGTCTGCTCACAATCATTAAGGACCTTCATGATGGTGGGCAGGCGTGGGTAAAACTAAGTGGCCGGGAGTCGGAGCCATTACCTGTTCACCTTGGGGTGCGACAGGGTTGTCCTCTGGCTCCCACATTATTTAGCATCTATTTCGACCACGTATTTCGTGAAGTCTTCAATGGCTTTACTGGAGGAATTTTCAACTGGTACAGATATGATGGGAGGCTCATGATGCCCAGGTGTGGTCAAGGGATGGCTCCCTATTGGTCAACCATATTATGTATGCTGATGATCTGGTGATTGCTGTTCACTCAGGTGCTGCTGCTAAACCTGGAGCGTGCCACTAAGAGGTGGGGCCCTACCATTGACCCCACCAAAACTTAGCACCTGCCTGGGTAGTTTGTGCCATCAGACACTCCACCCCCACAACTCCAAATTTGTCATGGAGCAGTTGTGGAGAATGTGTATAGTTTTCCATACCTGGGCGGTATGCTTATGACTGGCTCTGGTTTAAAAGCAGGGGTCTCACTCCGAATCAGTCGAGTGGCATTATTTTTTCATCGGCTGTGTAACACGATGTAGAAGCTACCTGGTCTGTCACTCCATATGAAGCTTCGAGTCTTCTGGGCCACGGTCATGCCCTCCCTTCAATATGCTTGCAAAACGTGGACCCCCCCTCTAATGGAAAATCTTCACCGTTTAGAAACATTTAGACTGTCCTGCCCATGTGTGAGATGCTCACAAATCCTTGAAAGAACTGGACAAAGTCCCTTCGGTGAGCTGCTCCGGGAGGCAAGGCTGCATTGGCTGGGTCATGTAGCCCACATGCCCAGCCACCACATACCTAAACAGCTTTTGGTCGACCTGATAGAGGGGGCTAAACGGGCGTGGCACGGGCTACAGAAGAGATGGAGTGATGTGGTACAAGAGGATGTAGAGCTAAGTTGACTTGATGGTAACCTGTACCAGTCGCCCTCCAGCAAGAAAGGAGGGCAGAGTAGCGATGCTCACCACAACGAGCGGAACACTGGGTGGATAAAACACAGGAAGTTAGCACAGCAAGAGGCACAGGTAGTGCATCGGCCAGTAATCTCAGTCAGTCGACCCATGGCACCTGGCTCTGTCCCGTGACTTGCCAGCGGACATTTGACATTTCACGTGGCTTTAACGTGCACATAGCCTGGCACAAGCGCCGCGGTGACGTCACCGCCACTTAGTGGCGAATGGCGGCTGTTGTTCTATGTACGGGGGGGGGGGGGGGGGGGGGGGCGCTGGTGTAGCGGTTAGCACGCTGCACGATGAACCCAGTAACCCGAGTTCGATTCCCGCTAACGGCCAAACACCAGTGACGATTATTTGAGTCGGTCCCTGGGCCTCCCATTTGAGTACCTGGCGCAGTAAACATAGCCACTCGGGAGACTAAAGGCGTTCGGACATGGTGCTGGCCACCCACCCCCTTGTGTGCCATGCCGGCCTTGAAAGGTGCTCGCTAACAGCAAAACCATCACATTACCATACATAGCAGCCGTTACCAAAAAGATTTCCAAAATTCTAAACAAACACAAGATCCAGGTCCGATTCAGTACAGTACACAAAATCCGTGATCTGATCCCATCCATAAAGGATGTCATCCCTGACTTACAGTACCCTGGTGTCTATAAACTGAGTTGCATTTGTGGTGTTTGTTACATTGGGGAAACTAAACGACATGTTTCTGACCGCATTCGCGAGCACAAGTCAGATTTGAAACACGGTAGGATGAATTATTCTGCCGTGGCTGATCATTGTTACAACGCTGTGGGTTCTCATGATATTGTTTTCTCCGATACCAAGGTACTCTGCAAGCCGTCTGGATATCACCAAAGATTTGTCCATGAAGCCATCCAGATATACAAACATAGACATAACTTCAACCGAGAAGATGGATTCAAATTGAGCAATCATTGGAAGGATGTTATTAACCAAGTAAAAATTTAGCTGCCTCATAGTTTATATTTATATCCGCATCTCCAGTCTTTTAATCCCAGCCCTGCTCACTCCCACCACTTGGAAATTTGCCGTGCAGTGCTTCGAGCCTGCAGAGTTCTCACCCCCCCCCCCAACGTGTTACAGCAGTAGGTCGAGCTTTAGGACCATCCGCACCGCTCTCCTCCAGCCCACGCCCCGCCCCCACACTCACCCTGGCTCCTCCCCCCCCCCTCAGCTATATAACCCCTTGTCACAGTCATCTCTTTGGCATACTTCAGCGATTGTTTTCGCTGTGGTTGCCCCCACCTGATGACGGACGCGTGTGTTGCGCCCAAAACGGCGTGATTTAATTTAGTTTTCTTTTTTGTTTTATTTTGTTCAATTTTATTTAATTTTCACCTACGTGACTTTACCGAATAAAACAAAGAGTAACAGCACTTGCCCCTACTGTCTGTTCAGGCTATAAGGGGGATTTTTGTCTTCATATGTAAGTGAGTTTTATCCCTAAAGGGCAATTTTAAACAAGCGTCACGGACATTCTTTGATGTGCGCGCATTTAAATATGATTAAATCAGTGCTGATTCAAGGGAATGTTCAGTAGGGAACATGGCGAAAGAGAGATGAAAGGTGCTGAGGAATGTAAAACAACCTCGCTTTACAAGTCACGTACCGCGTGCGCGCCTATTTGATGGGGTTGTGCAGGATCACAGGCGACGGTGGAAGTTCCGTGGACCAGTAAGAGATCACCCACGTGTGTGGCCATGATCATGCATGGGGGTATGTATGGACAATGATATTCACGAAGTGCTTGGCTTCACGTGCGAGGGAACTGGAGAGCGTCGAGAAGACCCCGCAGACACGAGGGGGTAACGTTCGAAGTTCTGAATCCATGGATTCAAGAAACGAACGCTGTGCTGCCATCTCGTGGTGATGTCACACGCCAAGCCTATAACACCTGGTATTCCCATGCAGGCGGTCTCTCCAAACTCGGATACTTAAGAGTTTGTGAGTCGAGGACGCTGTGAGTCAATGGTTCTCTGCGGTATGCAATAACCCTACATTGTATTGTATTCTCCCCAACGAAGCCTACCTAATGCCTATTATGTATTGTGCAGTTTCGCGTTGAACTAGCCCATTTCTCACAGCGGGGGACCTTGCCTTTAAACATCAAACAATTCACCAGCATTGGTTTAAGCTAAGCCTACCTCTGCCAGAGACGGTGAACGTGGAAACTGGTCCAGAGTTTTGCTTGCGTTGAACCAATGCTGCTGAAAAGAGACACTCCCAGAATGGCGCGTGTGGCCAATGTAATGTAGCAAGAAGTTTTCACGTTTTTTATGCGGAAAAACCAAAACGGGAAGTCGGCGTTACATCTGCTAAATGACTTTGTTCTCTGTAGTCTAGCCCCCTGTGCATTGCGGTCAAATTGCCAGCCAGCCATGTTATTTGACAGCATGCCTTTGGGTGGAGTAGTGGCGCGGTGGTTAGCACACTGCGTCCCGAGACCCGGCCACCAAAATTCAGCGTCGAGTGATATCTGAACCGGTTCTGCACCCCCCCACCCCCTTCCCCTAACGGTCATCCTACCGAACCTTCGCGGACCAGCGTGGTGGATCATGGTCAAACAAACTCCACGACCGACACGGTGTGAGCAGGTCTAATCCAGCGGTATATTGACAAAGGGCTGTAACTATTACTTTCATGTGCAACAGTCACCATCGAGGTGTTCTCGAGTGGCTCAGGCCAATTCATGATGGTCATCTCAGTCACGCATCACTTGCCCGCTGATAGCAGGGTTTGAGCAACCTGTCATTAAAAAGGTGTGGAGAGTTGAATGTCTCAGCCCGGTCACCAATGACAAGCGCATGGTCGGATCTTGCAGTATGTACCCGTCGCGGCGTGTGTCCCAAAGAATTGTGTATAATTTGGGGAGAAATAAATCGAGGACAAATATGTTTCGCCTCCAGGCATCTCGCCCTTCAGAGGCAAGGGGTGTGTGGATCGTGCAAAAATTGTAAACATTTCAAACACGCTTGGCTGCGAGGTGGCGGTGCAGCAAACGGATTGTTGAAATCCATCTGCGCGGACCGTTTAATATTCTCCTTCGTATGCATCGTTTTCCGTGGAAACTCTGGTTGGCCGAAGACTCCCAACTCGGGGCCCTCCTGAAAATGAGACTTGAGATCGTCAGACTCGGTGTGATTCTCCTTGGTAAATCAAGGGATTTATTATTGTTGTTATTGTTGTTTTGCAGATCCGTCACCAAAACACACGGGTTTCCTGGAAGGAAGAAAAAGAATATACATATAAGAAAGAACATCTGAAAGGAAAATCATCAACGGAAAATAATCAAAGTAGTACATCCGTTTTGAATAAAGAGTTCAAGAAAGAATATATGTACGAGCCAAAAATGTTGTAAGAATAATATCTACAAGGAAAGAAAGGGTAAACAAAATAAGGGCATCTGCTAAAAGACGAAAGCCTCGTCGAAGCACGACACCCAGAACAATAGAAGGCAATACAAATACCCGTACAAAGAAAAAAGTATTAGAATAAAGGAGAACATCTTCTGCAACAACAGGCCACACAACAGCGACGACCACAACAGGATACCACTAGCGCTCGTACTCCCCACACACGGGTTGGCACGAGCGAGGAGCTCGCCGGTGACCATGTCTCTCGGCGTGCCCGAGCGCACCCAGGTGCGTCTCGTCTTCCTGGGCGCCGCCGGCGTGGGCAAGACGTCGATCATCAAGCGCTTCCTCCAGGGCGCCTTCGAGACGCGCTACCGCCCCACGGTGGAGGAGCTCTACGCGCTCGAGTATGAGGCCGGCGGCTCCAAGATCAAGCTGGAGGTGATGGACACAAGCGGCAGCTACCGCTTCCCGGCCATGCGCAAGCTGTACATCCGCGACGGGGACGCCTTCGCGTTGGTCTTCTCGCTGGAGGAGCCGCAGTCCTTCGAGGAGGTGAGGAGGCTCCGCGAAGAGGTCCTCGAGATCAAGGAGGACAAGTGCCCTCCCATCGTGGTGATCGCCAACAAGGCGGACACCCAGCCGCCGCAGCCTCAGCAGCCTCAGCAGCCGCAGCAGGAGCAGCAGGAGCAGCAGGAGCAGCAGCAGCAGCAGCAGGACCTCCACCAGCAGCAGATCCAGGTGGCCCGTGCCACCGTCGAGCTGCAGTGGAACCATTGCCTGGTGGAGACGTCGGCCAAGGAAGACGGAGGGGTGACGCGGGTCTTCGCTCAGCTGCTCCGGGAGGTGAACCTCCCGAGCCGCCTGAGCCCCGCTCTCCAGCGCCGTCGTGAGACTCTGCCCGTGAGGCCCCTGCCCCTGCAGGTGGCGCGGCCGCCCATCAAGAAGGCCAACAGCTGCGTGGTGGCTTGATTGCGGACAAGATGGTCCACGTCCCTGCCTGCCTGCCTGCCTGCCCAGTGTCCACCCACTCGCTCGCCTGGCTCACGGCCTCATATGCAGTAGACGTGTGAGTGAGCCCAACCGCAAGATGGTTCTACGCTCACACGTGAAATGGTGTGGTGGTGATGATGGAAATTCCACATTCCCATGGCCAGGACATCCAATGTTGAGCTACAACACGCAACATTTCAAGTGTCTCACTGCTCAAACGAGCGATGGGCGGCGCTCATCTCTCTGTTGCAGTTCCTGAGTCAGTGGTGCAAAATTCCATATTCCCATGGCTGAGACAATTCCACGCATAAAATAACCGTTGTTGTCTACCCACGAAGTAGTCCTGATGTTGTCTACCCGGGTTGGATGATGGGTGGAATTGACTCTTGACCAAGAAAGATTAGCCACTCGTAAATTGTTTGAGTTGTGAGTCAAGCGCCCTATCACTGGGTATAAATGCAACGTGTTTCCTTTGTATTGTATGAATATAGAGCCCTCTCGATTGGTGTTCTCGTGGGTAAGCGTGGCTCCAGGTGACTGGGAAGAGGATTGGGTGTAACTTGGTGGTGAAAATTCCACAGTTTTATGGCTGCGACCAGTCTATTGTAGGGAGAGCACTGTTGATTTAAAAGGAGAAGTGGGGAGACACGTGTCTCCACTGTTGGCCCTAATTTATACCAGGTTTTCTCGAGGATGAATAGCCATAGGCGCGCTTTGGGCAGGAGGGTGATATGGCTATTTCGTGCTGATTGTCCATGAGGAAGGTGAACCAGTGTTCTACCCACTAGAACACCGGTTGATATAGCATTAACAACATTGATGATGTTCACGGAGCTAATTGGAACCTGATCTTCATCTGACCTCACTACATTCGCCAGAAATGTTAAATTAATATACAATAACCAAAACTATCACACATTTATATTATTGTGTGGCTCATTGAAATCCAGTTCGTGACTCCAGGTTGAAGAGGCAAGAAAGTCCACCTCATATTTTACAGTATCAGGTGATGTGTGTAGTTTGTTTAATTGAGAAACTGGAACACTTGCAGTGGCTTCATCACGAGCACTTTCTCACATCGACTTAAAGACTCACACGAAGACCCATAGTCTCATATAGACATCCATATACTAACACACAGACCAATACACTCACACATAGTCTTAAACAGAGATCCATATCATCACATAGAGACTCATAGACTCACACAAAGACCCGTAGACGCACATGGAAAGCCACAGATACATTGAGACACGTTGAGAAATTGGAATGCAGATAAAGTGGACTGCCCTAGCAATGTCGTCATCATCAGTGCCCTCCGTCATAGAGACCCATAGACTCGCACAGAGGCTTACAGCCTCACAGAGAGATGCGTAGTCTCACACAGGATGCGACTGAGAAAGTGGAGTGTGCTGGCAGTGGATTCGCCATCAGCGCTTTCTCGAGCACACGGGCGAACGCAGCCCACGCGGCTTCCCACAAAGAACCGGTCTGGTGGAATCCAGCATTGGTGCATGCGTTGCCTCCTCTGCCTTACAACAATTATCAATTTCCTCCAGCTATACTGGCGTCCGGAACCGAGACTATAACACCCGAGGCGGATCATGTTTCTTCCTCAAACCGGAGTCACGAATTACCACCGATCAAATTATGCATTGTCCATGCGAGAGGCCCTTTTACAAGAAGTGCAAAACACACTGCACTCGATCGATGTGGATGCTGTATTTCAAAAGCGTAGAATCCGTCTGTCGTTCTATCAAATCTGCGTGACTCTTCCCTCCGGATCCTAGAGGGCGCCACAAATCGTTACCACCTCACCCCATCCCCATCCCTTTAAAATAGCCGTCATTGTATTGTCGTGTGTGTAGATGTTGTGCAGGTTTGACCTCGACAGTCCGGGAGCATTGGCATCTGTGTTCTGCTGCTGGCGTTTGTGTTGAACTTTATTGCTGCTGGTGTTTGTGTTGAACTTTATTGTGGCCAACTGCGCAGTCTTGACGATAAGACTTGGGCTGAATCATCCGTCCGGGTTTGATCTACAGGGTGGTCGAGATGCCTTGTGACCCCACCCCCTCCCCCCCCCATTTAATGATCTAAAACGTAATATGTTTGAAGTAATGTTTATTTAAAACATAAATGAATATGCAAGGGGAAAAACATGTGAGGGGTCAATCTTGAGTTGAAGCTTTCGTGACCGCAGTAACCCATACTCTTTGGTTCTTTCGGTAAAGTCACGTAGGTGTAAAATAAAGTAATTCACGGCGTCATTTATTTTGTCTGCCTCAGCAGCAGGCCATGCTTTCCCACCTGACGACGGACGCTTGTGTTGCGCCCGAAACGTCGTGATTTAGTCTATTTTATACCTACGTGACTTTACCGAAAGAACCAAAGAGTATGTGTGGGGTCAATAAATTAATTGGAGGGGGTAACAAGTCATCTGAACCGCGCTGTATCGTCGACAAAGGCGGCGGCTCCAGAATGTGCATCCGCGTGTTTTATGTGTATTCGTCGTGACGTGCGTCTGTCATTTGAGTATTTCCCAGTGCAGTATTTCGCCTCGCAGAGCGCACATGTAATGACGCAGTGACTGTATTGCGAGAACACAAACTGTCGGTGAAGTTTTTGTTAGTGTTATTGTTTTTTTTATCTCCCGCGAATCATCTCCCTCGCTCAAATGAGAATTTTGGGACGTTTCACGTGCAATTTTAATTTGGCTGCCCTGAGCCAGCGGTGGAAATGCCACATTCTCAAGGCCGGATTCAAATAATACTAAGACAATATCGGGGGGAGGGGCGGGGGGAGATGATGATGGGCTGAATTTACTATGCTGACTGGGGGTTTAAACTCGTAACCTTTATAGTGTGTCTATTATTATAACCACCGAACTGGATTTATATATTTTTGCATGTTACGACATTTCTTGAACTGGACATATATATATCTATCATATGAGCATATATATACGAGTATCCAGTAGCGGCCTTTTTAAAATCCGCCTGAGTGTCACACTCCAAGAGAGGCCATTTACTTGGTCCACTGATGACAAGGATAGTAGGCTTTGTCATCAAGTGTTAATCACGACACTGAGCCATGTGGAATCTTAGGCACATAGGCTTAGTGTCTGAAATGTTTGGGTCTTCAATATTATTGGAAAACAAACATTGGGATTGTTGTAGAGGCAAGACAAATTTGTGCCAAATTTCGTATTTCTAGTCATTCTAGAATACGATGAGGGTTTACATCAGTCATCTGAGTGTAATAAATATACAGTAAACCCTTGTTAATTCTTTACATATGAAGCTCTGGCCTTGCCGAATGATGCAATATTCCGAATTATGTACAGTGGTACTCCCCAATGCCTCCTGCCCCAATAAAAACAAAATTTAAAAATTTGTTTTCCAAAATCTTCACACACCATACGCATTGACACACCTGCATCAATTCTATCCAAAACTTTGGATTTATAGCGCAGATTAAGGGATGTATACTTCAGGCCCTTTCTATTACTTCTTGACGATATTTTATAAAGGGTTGGCTTGCACAGAGTGCATAAACAAGGCAAAGTTCAAAGCAACAGGTCTGCACTATCACTGACCACGCGCGCCGCCACTTGACTGAGTCGTTGTTTTGGTCGTGGCGTGCGGCGTCCCTCCACCTGTATGCCGAAATTGAACCATTCGTTACGGAAATTCGGCTCATGGCGAATATATGCCTGAAAGCCCAGCCGCACCGAATTATCCCCAAATACCGAAATAACAAGGTTTTACCGGACTCTACATAGTCTAGAGCTACACGTGGCGACTGCGTAATAGGACTTAGCTCCAGTGTCGACGATAGCGATTTGAGTAGTCGCTAACAATGATGCATACATGAACGTTATGGGTATTTAGTTTTCACGTCTCAAGATCACTTGGGTGCGTGTTTCTGTCCGCTTCCTCCCACACGAAGTCAGGCTGTTCCTCGCAGAAATGGCAAAACATCTCAATGTAGCAGGAGCCTCCCTACAGACGGGGTCCTGGGACTATTGTGAGGCCTTCCTGAGTGAACACGGCCGCTGATGTTACCGTTCGGGCCTACAGATGCAAGTCAGAGATTGCGCCGGCGAACACAATTTGTGTCGCTTAGCAACCAGTGATGTTCCAGCTGTGCTGGCGGTTGGGCGACGGTGAAAAACAAGTAGCTCCAAATTGGAGACGGATTGCTAACCTGATTTGTGATGTCGTGATGGGTTTGCTGCATGTGCCCGTCTGTGTGTACGTGCGTGTGTAGTGCAATGGTTATGGCGAGTGGCAGTGCAACGGTTAGCGCATTGCGTTACGAAACCCATGGACCCGAGTTTGATTCCTGCTCATGGCCACCAACAACAGTGACAATTATCTGAACTGGTCCTTGGGCCTCCCCTAGGTCGACTCATCCTCAAACGAGTACCTGGTGCGGTGCATTAACATCTGTACTTGGGAGACAAAGGCGGGCTAGCGTGGTGCTGGCCTTCATAGGTTGCAAACAGCACTTTCTCCAAAAGTCTGTTTAGGCTATTCGTGGGATCTTTGCCTTCGTCTTGTATGTGCGTGTGGTATTTGTGTGTACAGATATAGCCCGGTTTTATGAATCACATTGCTGGATGAGACATTTATATTAGCATACTTCACCAGTGCGGGTTGGTGAATGTCCCAGTAAACATGTAATGTTGGGCTAACGTTGGGCCAACGTTGGGCCAATGGTTGCGACCACACGCCAACGTTGCATGTTTAATGGGGTGGAGGAAGAGTGCAGAACAATCTATTTGTCTGCATTGCCCTCTATAATACCTACTGCACCCGTCTCTTTGGCATAGTGGTCATCCATTTAAGGACGAGCCAGGCTCACCCTGCCTAGCGCCCTAGAGCTGATGAGATTGGGTGCAATCCTGGTGATTTGGTCATATGTGTACGGTATTTGTGTGGTTTTATATATGCATATAAGGCTTTTCTTATATAAGGCTTTTCTTTACACCAAACTATGTGACTCAGGTTCAATTCCTCACATCGGTGGTGAATTATAAATGAACCTAGCATGCATGGGCACCTTTAGGTCGACTCAGCCATAAATGAGTACCAGGTGTGATGTGTAAACGTCATCACTGGGGAGATAAAGACAGCCGGGGCGTGCTTCACGCTAAGCTACGAGTTGTTTTTTTTTGTTTTCCCGCCTTAATAGGTGCTCACCAATGTCGCTTGTCCCAGCAGTTTGTTGAGTTAAGCACATTAAAGACATGCAGTATTTGTGGTCGTGTGTGTATGTGGTCTTGTGGTGCAACTAGCCTGGCACAGGCGCGGCCACGAAGCCCGCCATTAGTGGATACGCGACCTGGTATTGTTGTAGTGCTTAGTGCGCACAAGTGCACGTGTTCTAATGTCCTCCTCGGTGGTTCTCGCAGAATCTCAGAAATCCTGAACATCCAATTTCCATCCCTGGCCACGAACAGTGGCAAATTATATATAAATCCATCATGCGCATCGCGTAGGTCGACTCCGCCTAAAACGAGTAGCCATTAATGCGGGGAAGACAAAGGCGACTTGGACGCGCGTCGCCACGCTATATCTATCTCGCGTGCCCGACTCGTCTCAATCGGTGCACACGAACGACACTCGTCCCAAATTGGCCTCGCGTGGTTGTCGGTGGTTCTGGGTTGCGCCTGTTAATGCCGCTCACGTGTGTGCCATCCTGGGCGAGGATAGACCTGCAGGAGCTTTAGAGTTGGTGTTTGTGCGCTGCTTTCTTATCGTGTTGTCAGTGTGCATGTTGCACTCGCTCGTAGTCAATGTGAACGTGCGAGATTGTAATAAACGCGCGCGATAACCGTATTGCGCGTCGCCGTGCCTTCGTCCTTTAACCACGTGAGTGTCATTTGAGACGCAAAGGCTCCGTCACAAGTCAAATTAGTGGTGGCTATGGATGTGGCCTGTCATCCAGCACAGCGGAGGTAGTAACGGTTGGTGGATCACACAAATGTTGTTAAAAAACCTTTCCCATGGTCGCCAAGGAGAAGCCATACCCTGGCTCTCTCTCTCTCTTCGAGAGCGAGGGAATACTGCACTGTGTGTTACAAGTTGAGAATTATTACATCGGTTTTCTCAAAAAGAATATCAAAGCACAACGTTTGACCGCTTTACTAAATCTCATAAAGTGACCATTTATTGTAACCTTGAAGGCCTCAGCGAGTCTTCAAGCCTGGTCTTTATCAGGAAGGTACTGCACTGGAATGTTTGGGAAATTCCATTTAATGAGTGTCGTGGAAGAATCCAGAATCTTTATTTATACTGGAGGAATCCGATGCACCATAAAGCTCTTTTTCACAAATATCCAGCGATGGCAGGTCAGAAGGTTACAACAACAAACAATACAAAAACACGATAGGAGTGCAAAGTATAGGAAAGGTAAGCAAATCACAAATGTGTATCTATGTTTATTCTGCCAGGTATAGCCCACTGAGCTATTAGCTTCCTTTTCAGAAGCGACCTGCCCACAAATGATAGCTTAACGAAGTGGCTTATCACGTGACATCCGAACTCAGAAGGAAACTGGAGTATCCGTAGAAAACCCAAGCACTTAAAGGGCGAGTATTCAAAGTGCCAAAAGGATGTGTTCAATCCGCAGACTCAATCTATCCATGGAACCCATCTCAAGGCTGGCATGTTTGACCAACTGAATGAAATAATGTTCGTGTGAAAGGGTACAAGTTATTGGACAATGTTCAGAAGCGGCCAAACACCGCTCGCTGTATTTATACCCGCATTGGGCAACGTTGGCCCAGCCCTGTGAGTCAAATGAAGGGCGCGAAGAACGATTATGCACCGATAATGGTTCGAGTCGTCGTGCTTTTGAGCTTCATGAACTCTCAATCGGCAGGGGAGCGATTGCATTGGTTGCTACAATTCATCTCGCACGTCCATGTGAGGATAATAATAATAGCCGATGCGTGGAAACTACTGCCCTCTGGTGGTCATAAGGAACAATAACAATATCAACAACCGCCATTCACCACGAAGTGACGGTGACGTCACCACGGCGCCTGCGCCAGGCCACGTGCACTTTGAGGCCACGTGAAGTGTCGAAGGCTCGCTGAGGAACTATATACTCGACTTCACAAAAAGGACAACTACTTTGGATTGTGGTAACAAAAATACTGGAATCGCGGCGGATAAAACAGATGGTAAAGGTTGCTCAGATCCTGAGACCCTTTCTCTGAGACTTTGTTGAGCTGACAAAGGAGGGATACGCCTGTGTTTGGCCCATGTCCGAAACGTATAGAGCAACTTTTACCATATTTTTCTCAACTTTGCCGTCTTGTAGTGCTACTTTCATTAAACATCATCGTGGTTATTGTCAGTGCCGGATTCTCCTAGCAGCAAAAGTAGCGACATATGATGCTACGGGCCCCGCACTTTCAAGGGCCCCGCGCTAAATGCTTTAAAGCTATCAATTCCGGTTCAGTGATTATGCACTTGCTCTATTAGTATAGTACTATACTGCCTTCAACTTTTATGAACGACTGGGTGTTTAAGGTTAGCGATTTGTCGTATTATCTGGCTGTATAGCAAATGAAAAAATACCATTTACGATGCAAGTAAAAATTGTTTTCATATGTATGTTTATTTTTTATTTTAGGGCCCCTTTTACAACATGATTCCACAGGCCCCGCACTCGGTAATCCAGCACTTGTTATTATCCCAGCGTCGTTATGGTTGTCAGCCATAGTCTATCCACCGCTGTGTGAAGGCCATCCACACGTTTGTCATTCCTCGTGGCCCTGCCATGCCAACAATCCATATCACGCCTGTACTTGTAAGTACCTCATTGCTCCATCACACACACACAATCAGCCATGATCAATCCACTGCTGGATAAATACCTCATCAAGCCTTGGCCATCTCGCATTATCCTAAGAGGAAATAATCCAGCTAGCACCAATACGTGTGCTGATTTAATCGCTCCATCTGTCTCTGACGCAAGCAATCCCTTGGCTGTCACTCTGATGGTTACTATGCTTGACCATCATACACACGCATTACTCACTGACACAAAGATCCCCTTATAGCCTGAACGGACTGTTGGGGCATGTGCTTTCAGCGAGCATTTATGAAGGCCAGAATGGCACACGAGAGGGTGCGTGGCTAACACCACGTTTGGCCGTCTTTGTGTTCCCAGGAGCGATGTTTACACACCGCACCAGGTACTCATAGGTGAGGCCCAGGACCAGTTCAGATAATGCTGAGAGGTTCACGGTTCAAATTCAGCGGTCGCCCTTAATAGTGGATGATACAGATCCCCGTTGTGTCTTATGCAAGGGTCGGCCATTGTGTGCCGGCATCATGGTCCAAATTTGAAAAATGACCCACAATGTGCACGCT